AAAAAGGAACAAAAGAATAGCATGACATATACAGAGAAAAGTAAAATGCACAGGTAAACCCAACTAGGTCAAGAATATTAAATGTGAACAGACTGAATAATCTAATCAAAAGTTTGAGATTGTTAAATAAACAAGATAAACTATATACATCTACAGAAGACGTATTTTAGTGCCAAAGACACAGCTAAACCAAAAGAAAAAGGATGGGAAATGAAGTGCTCGCTTCAGTAGCACATATACTAAAAAAAAAAGGATGGGAAATGACACATAAATAAACCATCCTAAGAATTACATTGGACTTCTCTTCAGAAAGCACACAGGTAAGAAGGGTCCAGTAAAATATTAACTCCTACAGTATTTTCTTTGGATTAGAAAACCATATTTAACCAGATATGTTGTTGGCCCAGGTGTTCAGAAAGAGAATCAATTTTTTTTTTTTCTGTACAGGGGATCGAACTCAGGACCTTGCGCTTTCGAAGCGGGCAGTGGAACCACCAAGCTAAATCCCCAGCCCCAAGGGAATCAATTTTTAAAAATTATAGAAGATGGGCCGGGAATTTAGCTCAGTGGTTTCGCGGCCTGCTACACAAGTACAAAGACCCAAGGTTCGATCCCCAGTACCAAAAAAAAGAATAAAAATTGCCGAAGAACCAGGCATGGTGGTGCACACCTGTATTCCCAGCTACTCAGGCAGCCGACTACAGCTTCAAGGACAGCCTGGGAAGCTTAGCAAGACCTGGTCTCGTAATTTTTAAGAAGGGCTGGGGATATAGTTTAGCACTTATACTTCCTACCCTTAGTATGAAACTATAGGGGAAACTATAGTAGGAAGGGGAAAAAAGAAAAAAAGAGAGGTTAAAATAGATCTCCAAATTTGAGTATACATAATAATCACTTGAGGATTGCAGGAATTCATCCCCCAGTATTTGATTAAGCAAGTCTGGTTTAGGTTTGGAATCTCCATTTTGTTTTTGTTTCTTCTAACAAACAGTTTAAGTAATCTAAATGGTTTGTGAACATAATAGTCCCTTGAATCCTTGAAAGGTTCAGGGATCTCAGTAACAATGAGTCTTTATAGGGTCCAGGTTCCATAATAGAAATGCTAATCAGTACATGTATGTTTAGGCTAACTTTGGCCCTCATGATCCTACTAATAAAAAATAACTTAGGTCAGAATTCCTTCCAACTCATAGGCTGCTGATCATCAAGACATTAAACAAGCCTCATCTTATCCAGCACTGAGAAACAAGAGATGACAGGGATGACCTCAGGAACTGTGAGATAATACATTTCTCTTGTTTAAAGCACCAATCTTGTAGTAATTTGTTACAACAGTAGTAAGAAACTAAGACATATGCTTATAAATTATTGGCCTAAATAGAAAACAGACTTTTCTTACCTATATCCATTGGTCGCTCTGTATTGAAACTATCTGTGCTGCCTTGGTGTCCACCTAAAGGTGCCTTTATTTGTTGATCTGATAATTTTCCAGTACTGACAGATCTAAAAAGATCAGTGAAGTTAATAACAGAAAAGTACACTTTTTAAGACTAGAGGAGTTAACAGGAAGTCAGAGAACAAGGACAAAAAATACATGCCAAACAATTTGGAGTACAGATAAACTTCCATAACCAAAATAAAAGACAGAAATAGAATATTCAAGTTCAGGAAGAATTCTGTATTTTCACACTTATAGGATGTATTTATGGTTTTCAGACATTCTAAATGTATACAGTATATATTAATAATCACATGGCATTGGGCTGGGGATGTAGCTCAGCGGCGCCACACCTGCCTGGCAAGTGCAAGGTCCTGAGTTAGATCCCTGATTAAAAAAAAAAAGAAAGAAA